CAAACCCTTAGCGACGATCAGGGCTCTCACACACACACACACACACTTGAGAAAGAGGTCTGCTCCCTCTCCTTCGTTTGTGCAGAGGAAGACAGTCGAAATTCCGGTGGAATTATGGGCTCGTGGTAGCCGCATGCACAAGCATCTCTCCCACGCTGCATCCGCTTCTCTATGTATCGACTCAGTGCAACCGGACCCGCTCAAGGCTGGCTGTCGGCCTGAGCAACTACGATCGCCACAAGGTGTTGCCACAGACAGCAGGAGGCTCAGAGCTAACGAAGACAGCACATCATAATTACTTCAGCATTGGAGGAGAGGGAGGTTAACAAAAAAAACCCGGGCTTGAGTGGCTTTTCGTAAGAGACACAGAGCGAGTCACAAGCAGCCATATCGTTTGCAGTCTCAAGCGTTTGTCCCCGTGAAAACCTGCAGTCAAAGTACCCGGACCCTCTGGCGAGCGTCCGTTCTTAGCGTGGTTCTTGACGAAGCGATAATAAATCGACAGAGGATAATCGGAAACTTGCCGCATTGGTGTACGTGGAGAGCCTGCCGGAAACACCGATGCGTTGCCACCACCTGTCAAGTTTTCTACTGCATGTAGCCCTCCACTTGTCGTATGCCCTCACACGTGTCAACGCTGTCATTGTGTTTGTGTGCGTGTGTCAGGAACCGGCGCTGCAGGCATTACTACAGGCGTACCTCGTCAAAGCTCCACGCAACCCTTTCAAGAAACGTCCTGAGTATGACCTTGTAACCTCCTAGGTCCTAGTTGCAATCGCAAGTGTCTCATCCGTACTGCAGGCAGCGGGTTCTTATACGTGGCTGACACGGGTGGGAACCCAAGATTCTGCAGCTGTTTGCTTCATTTTGCTTCGCTCTAGAGAGCAGTACAGTATTGGTTCGTCTTTGGGTTCTTTCAGCTACATGACTTTGAGTGCTCTTCGAACAGAACTGAGACACGTCGTCGAAACACTGACCATCGCCGCCGTTTGGCTCGAAGCTACGGCATCTTTGCACTGAGTTTAGAGTCCGTGCCACGGGGTGGCCGGTCGAAATGTGCAGCACCTCGGGAACATTTGGTGCTTGTTCTTCGCGCACGGCAAGTGCAAGACGAAACGCAAGTTAATTATGTACATCCTCCAGGCACTGGCTCGCACGGGACAATGAGTAGGCGGTCAAACTAACTGCCTTCAACTTCCCCGACATCTTGCGAGATAGCACAAGTGCATAGCATCTAAGGAGCAGGACAAATGGAGGCTCTTGCGCGACTGACGCTGCTGATGTTGCTGAGGCCGTCTGTTCAAGCGACCGTGCATGTGAGCCGAAGAGTCTGAGAGCGGCTTCCAAAATTCCTAGTGGCCAAGGCTGCCGAACACCGTGGCACAGTCCATGGGATGCTTTCACTACGGCTACGCCTGGACGACCCATGTATTAAGCAGAGCCTTCATGCATGCCGTGGGCTTTTGACTGCCAGGGCGTGGTTTGTGTGAGCTGCTGAGGAACGCCATGACAAACGTGACTGGCAACCCCTTCACCAAGATATCTGCTCCGGAATGCATCTCGCCAAAGCAGACGGATATTAGCTCTTCCAGATCTCCGGATGTATGCAAACCTGAAGGCCGTGTTTTTTTCCTACTAAGGCCAGCTCCAGTGCCGAAATACCATTGGGTGCACAGGTTTCGGCTACTACCCCATCACTGGCTCCTGTGACTCCGGCTGAGCTTGAGCAGAATAGACGTGAAGCGGATGTATTGAGCCCCTCTAGTTCTGGATGACCAGCGACAACATGAGGCAAGGTATTTTTAGGTGTCCCCGGAAAAAAAGGGGTGCTGTTGTGATGATTCTGGGCTTCGGCCAGGTTAAAAGCTCAGGGGCGAACTTTCGTGTGACCCTCTCGGAAAGCCCGGGAAAATCACACTCTTCGATGTTTGTTGCTGGCGGGCCGAGGTTATCTCGGGGGGTCCGGCGGCGCCACCTGGGCAGAAAGAAGCCAGCAGACTTGCTTTTGCCGGTGCAGAAGACACATAGTCGATTCTCCAGTAAGATGACCACGGGCGTTTTCGTTGTGAGGGCGTTTTGAAAAACGACATGGGCGGTTCTGCACAAGACTCGGTAATGCTTCTTCAATTGTCGTAGCATCCCTGGAACTGATCTGCATGCTCTTGGATTTGTCTTGAGGCTCTCTACGAGGCGAAGGGCGCCATTGCTGGACCACGCGAGCTTCTAAGCTGAAACGGTTGCTGGGGCCACGGAGGGCAAACAATATCTTTGGGTGACAGGTCGCAGATTCAGTTGATTTGACGTCGTTGCGGCGAGATACTGCAACGGAGTTAATATTGTTGGGCATTCGCGGGTGGCCACACTGCAGAAGTGGCCATGTATGCTATCACGAGCCGATGCAAAGATCAGGTGCGTCTCGCCAGATCCGGCTTGCGTGTCGCTGCCGGACGCTAGCTTTCCAGGCAACTCAGCTTGTCCGTTGCATTGCGACTACACCTTTGTTCGGAAGTTTCGGGCCTGCGATGGACGGAAGCATCCAGAAGCTATCTTGTCAGGTTCCACCCCTGAGAAGAGCATGAAAGCGTGGCCTGGGGGAGTCCAGCCGACTTCCTTGCAGTGCTGGCCACGAAGATCAGATGGTCAGGTGACCCGGTGCCGCATCTTGAAAGCATCGCGCAGAAAGTGTAGATGCAGCGATGTCTCACAGAACATGCTTTGCCTGTGGTGCCAGATTTATATAGCTTCGTGGGAGGCACCTAGTGCTTGAGGCTTCTTCAGGCCGACCGGCAGGCTACTGTAGGCTGCATGGCTCACCATCGACACCTGCATGTGCCCTGCAATCCGTGCGTTTGTCTTGTGTCCGAGGAAACCAAACTGCCATCGTCCTCGAAGACACCCAGGTAGCCCAGTCGGTTAAGTATTCTAGCTGCAGAGGGCGTAGGATGAAGTTCAAGCCAGGACGGGTGGCCTGGACGATGTGAAGGCATGGTGAAAGTCACAGACTTGAAGGCGCGTGTCTCACGAGTCAGCGAGTGGCCTGTTTTTACCACATGGTTGATGCCAGAAATCCTTTGAGAGATTTGTTGAGGCAAGTTGACAGGGCAAGTACCAAGCACTAAAGGCTGTAGGTGTGAAGTGGCGCCAAAACTCTGGCCGACAAGACTCAATTACCCGCAGCTCGAGTTCGTGCTATTCGGTTTTTGGCATGCAAGGGAGAGGAGACGTGCCAGCTCCGCTGCATGATGTGGCATGCCGGCAATTAGCTGTTCATGGCTGGTCGGCAGCAGTCTCAACACCCTCCAGGTTTTGATTGGCTTGTTCTAGATTCTAGGCAAAATTCCAGTGAAGCAATTGTTATCCGCACACACATGCAGCGGGCTAAAGTGCTGATAAAGCATGTGCAACAGAGTGCAAGCCCCAAGAAAAGACATGCTGAATTGCAGTGGCTGGCTGTGCCTTGTGCCAAGGTCACCTCTTTGCTCGGTGTGGTCCATTGAGACTACTTCAGATGCGAGTGGCTCGCCAATGTGCTGGAATGGCATGCTGGGGACGAATTGCTACAACGGAAACGGCCCGACGCCAGTGCGAGCGCAACGGCTCCAGCACGGCACGTATCGAGTGCTGATGCAGACAACTGGAGTGCAGGTGCTAGGGCTACACAACAGCTTTGGTGGCACGGTCTACAAGACCTGGGAAGAGGGTGCGCAACATTGCAAGTTCGAGTGCAGATCGTTTCTTTTGTGCCAGTTCTGGCAATACTCAAAGACTTATGGGTGCTACCTCGAGATTCCCTCTGAAGGTGTGGTGGGTTACCCGTTGACAACATCGGGCCCTTTTCAGTCAGTGCGACTGGATAGTGAAGCAGCGGCCGATGTGGTAGCCGGTGAGATGCTCCAGCACAACTGCGTGGGGGACATGTCGCCACTGCCAACCGCCATGCCGACAGGGAATGAAGTCCATCTCGTGGTTCCGGGCATGGAGTCCCCATCCACCGAGACCTCCACGCAAGGAGGGTGGCCATGGTGGGTCAGTTACTTGATTTTCATTTTTGTGGTGCTCTTACTGTGTGTTGTGATAACAGCTGTTTGGATGGGACTGGAAGACCGCAAGAAACGGCGTGCAAGGGAAAAGAACGTCAGGGGCGCATGGGATCCGGCCGGCGGCCATGCCCGAGGCCATTCTGCAGAACAGGCTGGCTTCCTGCAGAACATCCACATGCCGCAGTTGCCGCAAACCTGGCACATGCCCAACATGCACCTTCCCTTCCAGGACCCTAATTACCAGTCCGTACCTGGCTATGGAGACCCGGCAGCTCATATGCAAACTCACGGAGGCCGAATTGCCGGTCGCAGATTTTAACACGAAGTTCTTGCTAAAAGATGAATTTCCGAATGTTTCACTGAAGCGCATGTGTCCTCTTGCAGGAGAGACTGGGCATTTGCTGCGGCGGTAGTTGAGCACAGCACAGCGTGTGCTGATGCTCTTACCAAGGGTGATGACTGACTACTACAGGGGTGCGCCTAGCACATTCTCAGAGGTACAGTGCCAGAGGTCCAGGGTACTCCGGTGGTGGTATGCCGAGACCAGCAGATGCCCAGCGGCGGAAAGGGATGCTGTCAGACCCCCATCAAGACAGCATCCCAAAATTAGTTTGATTAATTTTGCTTCTGGCTGGCAGAACAAAGTCGTTTTCTGGGGCACACGAAGCATGGCAACATGGTTGGATGGGAGGGGGTAGAGCTGCGTGCAGAGCCGTATTTATGCTCTCATACTCAGGCAATCACCGGATCCAGAAGTTTGCGGCGGACATCTCAGAGCATCCATAAGCTAGCATGCTATCACAGTGTCACAAAGGGAGCAACCCGGTACAACTGCACAATTAGCACAACTTGGCACCCCCAACTTGTGTAGACCCAGTTCGTCGGAGAACATGTCTGCGGTCGAAACAGCAGATGGACAGGGTGACACTCCCGCCGATGCAGAGCAGCTACAGTATTACAAACAGGGAAGCCAAGCGACCCACACAGTTTCCAGTGATTTGGGCTAAGGTGGCTGCAGGTGACCGGATCGGTCTAACCGTTGCTGGCGAGCCGGGAGCTTTCTGCAGCTGTGAAAGTTTCACGCTGCAAGTTGCACAAGTACCCATGCCCTCATGTCAGTTGAGCACGTGTAGTGTCATGTCGAATGGACTGTGTGGGCATCATGTCCGGCCGCTTGCAGCTGAAGTTCTGAAGGGGCTCAAGTACGTGGACGTGCAATTCACCAGTGTGCCTCTGTCTTCCACTTACGCAAGCCTTCCACTTACACTTCGCGATGGTCGACCCAGCTCAACATAGGCCCACTATTGAAGGTTGGCCAGAAGCAGCATGCCGGCCTTGTAGCAAAACATAGCACCCCGACCCTTGCCATACCATGTCCCAAAAAGCAGCAGTCGCCACGCTCTTGTGCACGGGTCCTAGGAGCCCTCCCAATCAAATAGGCACCGGACTTGCCCGGACTGGCGCCTCATACTTGCCGCGGAGGGTCCGCTGGAAATCGTACCGCACTGAGTTCTCGAGTCATGCCCTGGCATAGCAATTCGTAATGTTGGATTTGTTTTTGGGTGCAGCGCTTGTAGCAGGTTTTTGTTGGGAAACAAGGATGTTCCTTCAATGAATGGGGAAGTCGTGCGCACCCTGTGTATTGCCTTCACAATCCTTGGGTGCAGGCGGCGTCCTGAACACTGAGGTGCCCCAAGATCATGCGGGCCTCCTCTAGCGAGTCTCTAGGCTCGCCGAGAGTCGCGGGAGGAAGATAATTCTGCACACTTGCGCACGAAACCAGCAAGGTTTTGCCTCAGACTCAATCATGGTCGGCTGCAAAAAATACTAGAAGTTACGAAAGCAATGTCAAGCATTTTGATTGCGGTGATGTTGCAAGTAAACATGACCGGACCGAACGGACAGGTTTAGCAGTCGGTAGAGTTAGATTCGGCTAAAGCGCATGGAGGACCAGCTGGGCTGGTGACAGACAATTCTTCACCGAAGCTGGTGACAGACATCTCTTCACCGAAGCTTTCTCCAGGCAGCGCAGTCAGGGTGACTAAGATGGGAAGTTCAGCAGCGAGAGGCTTCGAAGGCGAATCGGATACACAAGATGCAAGGCCACACAGCTTGCAGATATCGGTCGGGAGACGCAAGGTGACTACCAGCTCTGCTAGTGTCATCTGTCGCATCATCGGGGGCCACTATGTGCAACTCCTTCCTGCATCGATTTTCAGGTGTGGACCTGCGAAAGTCTACCAACCGTTCCTTTGCTTGAAATAAACGGAAGGCTGTTACGGTGTGACAAGTGGTAGCGACCTTCTGAATGCGAGGGGTCATCGGATGGATCTGAGACTTCATTTTTACCATAAAGCCGCATGGACTGCCGTCGGAAACCCCACAGGTCTAAATGACGATGCCATGTATGGAGTGATGCATGTAGCGGGCGCTTGCTCGTCTGTTTGTCAACGGCAGAGAGGCGATGAGAGGTCGCCGTGGTGAGGGTGGGGTGGCAGTGCGGAGGGATTCCGAGCGTGGACTGCAGACTTGTCATGCTTTGTCGCGGATCCGGAACAGCTGCATGCCATGAAAGATGCTTTCCGTCGTCGCTCCTTCTGTTCATGTGTCTCCCTCGCTCAGCCGCCAACACTGGCGACAAAGCCGAGAACGCGCGGAAGGTCCTCGAGGCGCAAAAGGGCTTTCCGTCAAGTTGTTGAGCACCTGCCGGTGTATTGCACTTCGTACTCCATGGTCTAGCTATGTCTAGCTACAATCCCTGAACGCATCCGACGGCCTGCAGCAGCCCTGAGGCGAGACGACAGAAGCAGCGGAATGAAGAAACGAAGGTCACACCTTCAGCACCTGTGCCACCGGCCCCTACCAGTGCCAGTGCTGCAAGCGGAGCGGGACGGACATTGGCAACAGCAGGTGGTGCTGAGCTGGACAGGCAAAGTGTAAGACGTTCACAGAAGTACACAGGCAAGTGTGCCTCCCTTTTTGTTTGTTTCAAACGTTTTCGCAGCTTAGCACAGGTTCTCAGCACTGCTTCTCTTTTCCAGCTGAAGCAGTCTCAAGAACTCACAAAAGGCTCTGGACATCTAAGGAGTCAGAACGCCTTAAAATGGATCAAACGGCTCGGAACGCTTTGCAATTTTCCAGATGTCTGATGTCTGAGGCCGTGTCTGAAAGCGGCTCTTCAGAATGCTCTAGTGCTCCCGGAGAGTCGTCCGATGGTTGCAGATCCCTTCCAAACATTCACACACAAACAAACCATCAGACATTCCAAGATATGCATTGCAACACACTACCAGGTGCAGCAGAAGAGACATCGCACCTTGGGCTGCGAGCTACAGGGGTATGGGACTTCACAGCTGTTATTTGTCAATCAGCTCCACGGCGGTAACTTTACTCAGCACGCGGTAGATATTCGCATCTCCACTGCATCAACTGACGTCCAAGGCAAGGCTTTTCCCAGATGCTTGGGAACAGAATCTTGCAGGGAGTGCACGACATCCTGAGCATCATGGATGACAAGGCAGTCGTTTCAAGCAATAACTAACAGTGGAACTGCTCGGCACAACCACCACTGCTGGGCACCTTGTTCTGGGCTCCGAGGCTAGCTTTCAGTTGCAGCATTTGCGCGAGGTGTTGTGCAAGTATGTGTAAGCGAGTGCACCAGGCATGAACGTACACAGTTGATGGATCAGGTCGAGAACCTTGTCGCGGAAGTTGCTGCCATGCGTAAGGACATGCGGGGCAGCTCGTTGGCACCGGGAGTTCCAGGAGCTTCGCAACTCTTTTTTCCTTGACGGACGTAGGTCCTTATGGCTGATGGGCATTGGATGCTGCTGTTTTGTGCTTCGGGCAGGCTAGGTGAACAGTATTCGTTCTTGCGCTCCACTTCAGTCCTATCCTACCAGCTAACG